TTGTGTTCCACCTGGAAGTGGTGTCTCGTATGGGATAGTATTGATTGGCAGAAAAATTTGTCACCTGAGTCAGAGGAATGGGTGCTTGTGTATCAACTCCAGCAATTCCAATCAAAATGAGGAGGAAACTTCCTGGTCGCCCTAGAAAGTACCATGGAAAGAACTCAAAATCTGCTTCGAAAATAAATGGTGATGCAGGATCAATGGTTACAGATATTGAGTTTGTTCACAAAACTACGACCTGCAGAAGATCTGAGTGCTCCAATTCTAAAGTTCATGTTACTCAGATGCAGTGGCACCATAGTCAAATAGATGCAAATGGTATGTGATCTTTCTGTTTCTTATTTTGAACCTTATCCATTGCTTAGACTTTTGATTGATGACAAATCTATCAAATTTAACCATATTAACTGCGAATTTTATTTTGTTGATGGCCTTAAATATAGTTCATTGATCGATGGGTGTATTGTCTATATTGTGTGGTGATTTTCTGTTGCTAAGAAGGACCATGTGATTGTTCATTTTCCTTCAAAGCATTTTAAAAGGAGTTTAGTTGTTTGAGCAACTGACAAATCAGAATTATTTGACTACAACTTGCAATAATGAGCGGTTTACCTGCTTTGCAGTTCTTTGCCAGGAGGATGCATGGTTTGACACAGTCAGCATTTTTGAGTCTGACTCAGATGATGAATTCAGTAGTGTTAATGGAGGTAACTACTTTCGTATCTTCATTTTTATACTTATAGAGAATGACTTGCTCAGTGTTTGGACTAAGAACACATCTTCTTCTTTATACAGTGCTTGATTATTAATAGATAACGTGATCATTGGCTAGTTTTTATCCCTTTCATTTAGCTATTGTTATTTATGGGACGGGGTTTTTCATCTTATCTTTAGTGGAAATTTCTGAATGATTAATATTCTCGGAATACTTTTTGCTTTGTGAATCTTAGCAGTCCAAGGTTCTTATAGTCCTTCAGATCAATGTATTTAATTTAATCTATACCCCTTGCAACCTTACGTAGTTATGTACATGTGTTCACTCTCTCTATTACATATCATAGTCTTCTCTACCACAGCTAGTTACTTCCATGAGTTTCAGTGACAAGATCATTAATGCATCAAATTCAGGTCGAGTTTCTCAAGTAAGGAAATCAACAATTATAAGGCTCTCTCTGAGAACATCTGTTGAAGAAGAAAAAAGTGGATTTCGTAAGTACCTTGTGACTTTCCATTTAGTCATTACTCTTCAGTATAAATTGAGTCCCATTTGAGAGGAATTTGTGTCATAACCTCCTGGTCATTTTGTAAACTAAGAACAATATAATCTTATTGAATCATGATGTGACAGTCCTGTTTTATTTCCTTCTTCTGTAATGTAAAGAAATGTGCAAAAACTAATGCAAAGGCAGAATTGCAATACATTAACCATAATGGTACTCCTGTAGGTGCACCAAGAAAGTATCTTTTGCGTCCCAGGGCTGGGCTCATTGTTCCTCATTGTACAGAAGAAAAGCCAACAGTAGGAAGTTGGTCTGAGATTGAGCCCTCGATCTTTAAGCTACGTAGCAGTAGTTTCTTCATGTATGCTCTTAACTTACCCTTTTTTGTCAATTAATCAGTCCTGTGGATCTTTCATAATTTAATTTATCCATTTGTTTCTTTGCATTGCAGAGATAAGAAAAAATCACCTGCTCCAAATGTGTCTCCTTATACTCCTATCGGAGTCGATTTATTTTTGTGCCCAAGAAAGATCCATCACATTGCTCAACACGTTGAACTTCCTTCTGTAAAAGGAGATGGAAAATTACCTCCTCTACTAATTGTCAACATTCAGGCATGACTGACCCCCCTCATCTCCCCAACAAAGGAAATAAAAGATATTTTAGTTTTCTAGACTAATGAAATAAAGATGCTCTTCTCCACAGTTACCTACTTATCCTGCTCAAATGTTTATTGGCGATGCTGATGGGGAAAGCTTGAGCCTTGTTGTATATTTTAAGATTTCTGAAACTACAGAGAAAGACGTCTCTCCTCAGTTCCTGGAAAGCATCAAGGTAGGTTATGTCTGATTTGTTCAAAAATAGTTTATCTATGTCAAACTTAATTATAACTGACATCGATATTCTCATTTATAATATATCTTTATCAAACTTGATTATAAGAACTTATACATATTCTCTTATTCACCTTATCCCTGAAAGTCAACTAAGTTTTTCTATTTGGGGTGTTCTTTATCTGGCATTTGATTTGTTAGACAAGAGAGCTAAACGTATTTTCACAATGTAAGTGTTTCCATCTAATCTGGCATTGATAGGATAAGCGCCTCATAATGTGTTTTCCCCTTTCTCGGCATAGCTGGAAATCTAAGTCTAGTTGATCGAGATGACAACACTTAACGTTGGGATGATTTTTCAGTTCACGTCCATGTGTCCGTAATTTTTCCCCTGCTCCTGGGGCAGGGGTTACTTCCACATGCAAAACATTAATCTTGGGATTTCCTTGTATCAAACTTTTGCTGACATGTTCTTTTTTTCCTTGTGAAAATGTGGTGATCCTCTAAGACGTTTACTTCATAGTAGAAATGGCGGATAGGGAGAAATTACTGGACTGATTTTCTTTCTATTGGCTTATGTGACAGAAACTTATCGATGATGATATGGAGAAGGTTAAAGGATTTGCAAAAGATTCAATAGTTCCTTTCAGAGAGAGGTTGAAAATAATGGTTGGGGCGGTTAATCCAGAAGATCTTGTTTCCAGTTCAACTGAAAGGAAGCTTTTGAATAGTTACAACGAGAAACCTGTGCTTTCCCGTCCTCAACACAGCTTTTATGAGGTGGATATATATATATATATATCTTTTCAATGATGATCTTTTACTTACTTCTCTATGTCAGTTAGCCATGTCTTGGCTGTTCTTGACATCAAAACGAATTCTGTTGCAGGGCTCAAATTACTTTGAGATTGATCTTGACATTCATCGCTTCAGCTACATAGCAAGAAGGGGACTTGATGCATTCAGAGATCGTTTACAACATGGCATATTGGATCTTGGTCTAACAATTCAGGTTTCTTGTTATTATACTTTTCCCTTCTTGAGAATTAGAAAATGAGCTCATGCTTTGGCTTTTTTAAATGATGTGCACAGATTTAACTTATATATACTGATAACGTAAAAATAACTCTAAATCCTGTAGGCACAAAAGCCGGAGGAGCTGCCCGAGCAAGTTCTTGCTTGTGTGAGATTGAACAAGATTGATTTTGTTGACAATGGACAAATTCCAACTCTTCTGAGCATTGAGGAAGATAATTGTTCATACTAATTTATACAAAATCAGTGATACATTTGCATATTGCATGGGGGAGTTTTCAAATGGTCCCTTGATGATCAAGCAATTCCAACTTTCTATACAAGCAAAAAAAAAAAAAACATTGTATAATAAGAAATTGTATTCTGAAAGATGAAATTTTTAAAAAAAGGTGATCATGTTGATACTAAGGTCCACCATTTTTCAACTGATCACACCCCTAACATAATTTAGTACTAATAAGAAAAAACCAATATCACTTAGCATTTACTTTATTTAAGATATTGTATATATTTTGAGAAGGCAATTGAGTGTTTTTAAATTCAAGTCTATTTGCTTGGGTGCACATCAAGAGACTTGACTATTCGTTATACTATCTTTTAAATTCAAGTCTATTTGCAAGAAAAATAACTCATGTTTGACGTAAAGAGATTGTTTGTACCATGTGAAAAGATTATATTAAAGCACAATTAGATTACAACTATTGTTCACTAATTGATCTTTATAAAATTATGTATATTTGAAAGTTTCAAAACACAAGCATTTAATTATAAAATGAACATGGAGTATGTGATAAATCAATATGGTGCCTATGAGCAGATCATTTAATTATATATGATCTGCATCATTATGTAAAAGATCGTATAAGAATTGAGTCATAATTCAAAGAGTTCTTATGCCTTATACCAAAAAATAAAATAAAATAATTACATGTTAATTCAGTTTGGCTTTTAGGACACTAATTTTGTTGAGTTGGACCTGAGGTGAGTATGAAGGTTTAAGAACTACACAGTTCATGATTCTTTATGTTTGAATTTCATCATTGTAATTTGAAAAGATAGTTTTGAGTTCTGAAATTGTTTGCAGGTCTATAAAACACTGAAAATATTTGAATTTCCAGTCTGTCGCATAAATAATAATGAGACTCAAGACAATTTTTTAACTTTTATTTATTCAAATATAAAAAGGTATCAAAAAATAGTCGAATAATCAAGAAAGACATATAAGCAATACAAAAAATGCCTCAAAAAATCTCGTCTTGCATCAATGACCTTAGAATATCTTGATGAATAACGGAACAAAACTATAAATTTCTTTGTAACTGCTCAAAAATGGTCGAATCTCCGGTTGGACGAGTTGGGAGAAGATGGATAGTGGGAGTAATATCTTAGTTTGAGGATGGTCATTTTTACTTAGAAGACCTTACCACAGCTATCGAAGTAAATTTATAGAGTGAAATATCCTTTTCAGATGTTTAATCTTTTCTCGTTCCTCATGATAGATGATACAACAACATGCCCAAGTCATAGGTGGTACTTTTGCTTGTCGACACTCAACATAAGATTGCCAACACATTTCGGTATTCCCCTGTAACTTGTAGGTCACAAACTCAACACTGAATCGTTCCACTATGTTTATCTATCATATTCCATAGATTGATTTCACCAAGTGTTGTAACATAGTACGAAGATAACTGAATGAAATACCAGACATGATTTTCTTTCTTATTAGATCAGTTTTTTAGTCTCTATGGAGCTCACTCAAAATTAATTTGAAATTGAGGCGTAATTGCTTAACATGAAGTGACGCGTTTTAATCATGCTTTTATTTTCTAATTGACCGCTGTCTATCCTTTCGTTCATTTTTTTTTTTAAAAAAAGTATATGTACACAGGGTAAATAGCAAAAATAGTAAAGAAAACTCTGTAATAAATCATACCCTCTTTGCCCATGATATATATATACAAAAATAATGTGAAAGCTGTATAAGAAATGAGCTAAACATGTAAAATACAAACTATGAAAAGCAAATAAAAAGAAAAAAGAGATTGTAAAATCAAGTTTGGATAGCAAAAGGTGAGCATTTCAATGTTCTCCAATCTGTTAATGAAATTTGCAAACCACTTTGAGCATCAATATTCTGGCTTATCCCTTTTGATTTCTATGATGTGAACTTGCATCTTATGCATGATTTCTTCACCAGCTTCCTGAAGATATGTAAGAACATTCACTGCAAGGATCGATACCAAAACCTTCGATGAACTTTGAGGTACCAACAAGAGAGACACAAAGTCCTCTTAGCCATTCCAATTATATATCTGCATGGCAAAAGAAAAAGAAAAACTTGGTAAAAGTTTGTAAAATAGCAATATTTGGCTGAAGTAGGTGACTCAAATATGTCTAGTTGATGTAAAGGAAAATATGACAAGATTTATTTCACCTCCATAGAATCGGGACCTACGACCAGCTTTTCGAGTTTGACTATCCTTCTTCGAGTCAAACGTCTGGGACTGAGATAACAAGGGCCCGGAGAACCCAACCCTTCCTTGTTGGCCATCAAATTCCTGGTCATGTTTCAGAGAGATCACATACCATAACACCATGATGTAAATGATTACCAGATGTTTTACCCCCAAGTCATATTTTTACGCTTCAATCTCTAGCTAATTAGGTTCGGCTATATGAATCCTCACCGTGCATTATTGCTCCATTTTTGACAATACTTTGGGGCTCTCTAACACTAGATGTTCTCTATATATTTTCTACTGACAAGCAAAAAAATATTTCTAGCACACACGAAACTACATGAAAGTATAGTGTATACCAATATGTGATCGAACTTAAATCTCAACAAGATGGTATCATCTATATTGATATTTTGCTTCCATTGTGTTATTTTTCATTAAGTCTACATGAATTTGATAGATTACAAGTCCTCTAAAAAAATCTCATTCCAGGTGACTTTAGGTCTATCTCGTTTACTTTGAACACTTCCAATTATCATGGTATTTTACTTCAGGATCAATACAGCTAGATGTCCATTAAAGACATGACCAAACCATCTCAGATGACCTTCTCATTTATTCTTCAGATGTGATCATTTCTGCACATCTATCGTAACATTCACATTTTTACAACACTCATCTAGTGATTTCGTCTATGTAAAGCACAATTACCACTAGGCTTCATTGTATCCGACGTGAAATTTGCTAGAACTTTTTCTCCCCCAAATTGTAATGTAATTAACCTTAATGAGGGAGCAAAGAATCAAATACAAAATGTTTTAGTCAGGAACAGCAATTGGAAGAAGCTAAGTTAGTGGAAGAATACTAACCGCTGATTGTTCTTGATCCGACAAATCAAACGAATCTGGGCGTTCATGATGACCATGTTTCCTATGCTGGGTCCTTCTTAAAAACTCATCATTATCTTGCATCTTTGATTCCAAGGTATCCCCAGAGTGCAGTACAGCAGAAGGATCGAAGGCACTCAATTTTTGACTTCTTGAATTGGGAGGTGGATATAATCTTGTGACTGCAGAATCCTGCTTTCCTTTTTTGGCCCATGCAAAACCACTCGATTCTGGCATTTGCACAGGAACAGAAAGAACAGTGCTGTCTCCTTGAGACTCATCAGTCATCTGAGAAGCAGCGTCTGATACTGTGTCATACAATGGCTTCATTGATATCCGTGAGACAGTAGCTCGTCTTCCTTTAGATATCTGTGCATTACTACCGTAATTTCTATGAGAACCATGAACATTTGCCTCAACTTCCTTCAAAAATACAAGACAAGCCTTCTCAATATACTATCAAGAGGAAATGTGAATGAATGTATGTTTCTGTGAGAAAAGACAGAAACCTCTGTTGGAACAACTTTGCAGAAATTGTTTGGTTCTTGAAGACCTTTCCTGGATTTTCTTGAATTTTTAGAAGTTTCCGATGTTTGCACTGTGGAACTGGCTCTCTTTCTGAAAAAGCAAGGCTCAAATTAAGCTTAAAGAGGAATAAGAGGGATGCAAAGTCAAGAAAGGTGCGCGATTATCAGAAACAGAGATGTATAAATTTAATTTGTTGGAGCCAAATCACTTGAAGCCCGATAGTGATGTGTTTGGGTAAGTTAACTAGATAACTATGAGGTGCAGCATTGACAGTGAAATGCATATATTGTTCTTTGGGCTTTATTGTTTTACTGGCCCATATATGGGGGCTAGGCAATGATTTAATAGAACCATGTGCAGTAAAATCCTTTCATGAAGAAAAAAGAAGAAGAAGGGAATTCACCTTCTCGCTTCTTCCCTGAACTTTGCATCAATTTCCTTGTTCGGTGGGTACTTTGGCAGGCTTGACGAGTCACAAGCATAAGGCTTGGTATTGAAATACTAAAGAAAGGTACAACATAAATTTGAACCAAAAAGTTAGCTATAAAAACCAGGTTAAAGAACAATAATGCTTAAGAACAAATGAAAAAAACATAAACATCATCAATACCAATGAGGAACAAAAAACTAAAAGCAAAATAAAAAGAATGAGGTGACTCTGTCAAAACGGAATTTTCCGGTGAGATAAAAACTCATGCACTCTGTGTCTTTGTTAAGCTTACCTCAGAATTGAGAGCAGATGAAGCAGTTCCACGTTTATGAGGATCTATTGAAATAAGTGTTTCAATAAGGTTTACAGCACTTTTTGGTAATTCTTTACATCTATCTCGAAGTGTACTGTCATATGGTTGCTTTGGTTTGAACATGGTTGCAAGTGGAAGTTTAGACCTTTTCCAGTAATCTTCGGGTGGGGAACCACAGAGTTTGAAAATTTTGTGCAGTTGTTCAACCTGCAGAAATAGACAACCAGGATCTTTTCACAATTGACAAGGAACAGTGATATTATTGCGTATTCGATATAGGAGAATGATTTAACCACTTCATATTATTTGGGGAGGCTTCAGTCGTGTTAATTTAGCACTATTTAGCAATCATGTCCCTTTTTGCAACATGCTCTCAGAGATGTTTGATAAATTTTATCAAATTCAACAGAAGTTATCTGGGAAATACTGACCTCAGTCCTCCCTTTCAGGAGTGGCCTTCCGAAAAAGAGTTCAGCAAAAACGCAACCAACACTCCACAAATCCACAGTGACTCCATAACTTGTTGATCCCAATAGTAGTTCAGGAGGTCGATACCATAATGTAACCACACGACTGGTCAGTGGTTGCTTGTGCCTTGCACTAAGGAAATTTGCAAGACCAAAATCTGCTATTTTCAGAGTTCCTTCATTGTTAACCAAAATGTTGGAAACTTTAATATCCCGATGCATTATCCCTCGTGAATGGCAGTGCTCTAGTCCGCTCAGAAGCTGCTGCATGTAGCATTTGATCTACTTCCACGCAAAAAGAAAATTCAATAAACAAAGAGAATCTTCTTCCATTTACATTTTGCAAGACAAGATAGATTCAAATAGTGATCTTAATACCAAATTCAATGAAAGAAAGACATTGTCAAAGATGAACCAACCTGCGAATCACTAAATTTGATGTCAGGACATGATAACAATCCAGATAGGTCATGTTCCATATACTCGAAAACAAGGTAAATGCTACATGATAACCGAGAAGTGATTATCCCTTCCAGCTTCATAATGTTTGGATGGTCAAGTTTGCGGAGAATTGCAATTTCTCGTGCCATAAATCTGACACTATCTGGTTGGAAATTGTCAAATCGCACCTTCTTCAGGGCGACCATTTTACCATTTCCAATATCACGTGCTCGGTAAACACTGCTATATGTACCTTGTCCAATCTACAGATGTTGAAAAAGAAAGAATCTTCGTAAGAAGAAAATAATTTACATCAGTAGGGAGATAATGTACCACTAAAATTACCAGACAAAGCTAAGTATTGAACTAAGTGTTAGGACCGGAAATAAGCAGGTTTAAATGCGGAAGCTAGCAAAGCAAACCTCGAAAGACCACGAGTAAGAAAACAACTATAAATATACCAAAAGACACAGAGATTTAACGTGGTTTGGTCAATCGACCTACGTCCAGAAAGGAGATGAACAATCCACTATAAATATGAGAGTATAAATACAGAGGGAAACGACCTCAACCAATTCACTCGGAATACATGGGAGGTTCACACAAGTGATAACATATCAAGCTTGTGACCCACAAATTCTTCCCCTAACCAAAACTCTCAAAGCTCTTAAGACTACATTGTGAATGCTGATTAAGTTAGAAGGAACATGCCTCTATTTATAGAGTACCCAAATCCTTTTCCTACAAGGAAAACCTATTTATGGTAGGAAATTTAAGGCAAATAAAACCCAACAAATCTCCCCCTTGGCCTGAATTTCTGACAAAATAAATTTGTCCACCTTCTTGACTTAATCTTCAACAACTTGCTTCTCCTCTCCATAATCTCCTTTGCAAAATTTATGTCTCAACATAAAGAATCTCTCTGAAACAATTTCTCCAACAAAATCTTCATTACTGTCAAAAAGGTTACTGCTAGAACTACACCGCCTAGATGAACACATCTTTCTAACCTGGTTTAATCATCGATTATCGAACCACTGAACCTGACTTCGTTATTGAATTTGGCTCTGATACCACTTGTTAGGACCGGAAATAAGCAGGTGTAAATGCGGAAGCTAGCGAAGCAAACCTCGAAAGACCACGAGTAAGAAGACAACGAGAAATATACCAAAAGACACAGAGATTTAACGTGGTTCGGTCAATCGACCTACGTCCACAAAGGAGATGAGCAATCCACTATAAATATGAGAGTACAAAATATAGAGAGAAACAACCTCAACCAATTCACTCGGAATACATGGGAGGTTCACACAAGTGATAACATATCAAGCTTGTGACCCACAAATTCTCCCCCTAACCAAAACTCTTAAAGCTCTTAAGACTACATTGTGAATGCTGATTAAGTTAGAAGGAACATGCCTCTATTTATAGAGTCCTAAACCTTTTCCTACAAGAAAAAGATTAGTCAATCCAAAACCTTTTCCTACAAGGAAAACCTATTTATGGTAAGAAATTTAGGGCAAATAAAACCCAACACTAAGCAGCCAAAGTCTAGATATGTTGCTAAATTCCTCAATATTAAGTTATAAACCATATCACCTATATCCCAGCTCAGATTCGAATCTATCTCGCACTTATAATATCTCTACGTTTTTCTTCAGATTAATAACTCTCGACTATAAGCTTCTCTTTCTCCAGAGGTAACATAAGGGAACAAAGATACAAGTAAAGAAAAATTAAAAGGTATTTTCAGTTTATTATAGACCTTGTAGTTCCTCATAATTGGAAGTAGCAAGTGGATCACATGCAAGTTCAGATTGAAAGATAAGGATGGCAAGTAAAAGCAGAAAAAATAAAGGTTTCCTCCTTTGGGGAGTATCAAGTTCATTAAAATGGTACCATGAGAGGGGTTAAAGAAATGGTAATTTATAGTCTCAGCTAACAAAACTTGCTAAAACATGCACAGAATTTTTAGCCAATTACTCAAATTGAAAGGCTGATGATTGAGTAGGAACTGATGAGAAAGCATGATGTGGTGCAGATTTCTCTCAGACACTTATTCATCAAAAATAACCTTGATAGAAAAGCTGAAGATTTTCAATTTATAAACTATGCGTCATTCCCAAATTAGTTTTGCATCAACCATAAAAATCTTCTGTATCTAGCTGCTCCGTATTAAATGCATCAACCAATATTGGATAACCTCGCCTACATGTGTTTCAAGACATAGACAAATCCTAAAGAGGAAGGTAATGGAAGGTTGATGCCAGTGTAAAAATTGTCAAACTATGATTAAAGCCGAGATTTTAATGATTTAACTAGATTCCCTTAGATTCTGTCAGTAAGCTTTCCTTACATGATTGATTACAGTAAAATGGAGACCATGACTTGAAGTAATACCTAATCTATAAATGGCGAATGCAGGAGTTAATGATGGCATGAAGCACCACAATATTCATCTTTTTGGGGTAAATGTTTGCAATGGTGTCTTTTCCTTCTGCAACGGAATGGGAGAAAAGTAATGGAACTGCTATTGAAAGGATAACCTTTTTATGTTGCATACACACATGAATACAAATTTGTAAAATCAAGAATCTGTCCAGATAATACGAGGAATCATATCTTTTTTAGGGAAACATTGGTTACCTTTTCTAATTTCTGGAACATGTTTGATTTCAGAGGCATCCATCCATCAATAGCTTCACCGGCAACGGCAGTCAGCCAAACAGGCCATCCGGCGGCCAAATGTTCACCTTCAGTTAACCTTCCAAATTTGATGCTAAAACTAGCCGCCTTCTTATCAGAATTTCCCTTCTTGGATGCTCTCAATTTCCCCGAAAATCGTCTAACGGAATCCTCTCCCTCTTTCTCAGGCTCCTCTTTGATCTTCTCCAAAGGGGCAAATCCAATATGCAATAATGGATCGACATTGTCGACACCGGCAACATTCACCGACGAATCGTGGGGCGGGGAATGGGACGTGGCCTGCTTGGAGCTGACGCAACCCATGACCCCCCAAAACCCATAAATGAATTCGATCCAGTTGGGAGAGACCCAGATCGACCCGTATGATTCAACGGGTCAAGGGAGGTGAAAATAATGGGTGCGGGAAAAAGGGTCTCTCCCCAAATTAGCTCATTGTATCTGCAAAAAAAAAATTGTTTTCATAAAATTGATCTGAGAAAAGAGGTAATAGTTTGAGGTGGAGAAGAACAGAGAGATGGGATTCCTTCTCTTTTCTTTGCGTGTTATGCGGAGATGAAAAAAAAAAAGAAGGATTTGAAAAGGAGACCAAGAAATTAGAGTTGTTGTCGAGAGATGCGAAAGCAGAGGAACAACAGAGAAACAAGAAAGAGAAAAATATTGTGTGGTTGTATTTGTGGGTCCAAGATTCAAGAATCATCATCATCATCACCAACATCATCTTTTTTCTTTTGTTTTTCACTTTGTCTGTTGAGACCAATTCATACGCCATTTTTACAAAAACTTTCATTCTTTATAACTCAGAAAAAGAGAGGCAAATAGGTAAAAGTAGCCGTTAGGAGTTCGTTTTCTTTCCTTCTCTCCTTTATTTTATTGTTGTGTTGCTTTTTCTTTTACTCGTTGGGGTCCTGTGCTGGTGAGCTGCTGCTGCTTATTCAATAAACAAGCCAACTGCTCAACAACTCATCACTATCTTCAGATTATTGAGTAATCATAGTGGCAAAATAATTGTTCAGACTTTGACTGAAGGACAGAAACTCATGTGTTTTTGGACAGATAGTATAGTGTAAGTAATATTTTTATACTAAAAAGAGTTACAACTTGTTCTTGTACATATTATAGAACTCGTGGACTTTCTTTGAGTGCATTAAACTAAATAGAGTCTAGGGGGCAGAGATAGAGGATAAGCAAGGGGTTTATCTAAATCTGATTGGCGAAAAATTATACTATATATATATAAGTATTTTAATTCTATTTTTTTTTTTATGTATTATGTTTTTTTTTTGGACCGTAGGATTAGTAGTTGGTTTAGTGGCTGAAGTCTTAAAGATTCACCGTGAGGTTCCAAGTTCAAATAGCAAGCAAATTAGGTGAGGAGGAACAATCAAGAAATGCAAACGAAATATGGTATCAAAAGTTGACAACTTTGCTTGAATAAGCTCCTTTATTCTTCCTGACTAGAGTTTAAAGCCTGGCCCATGAAGCTACAATGACAAACTATACACCTTTTTTTTTTTATTAGACATCTTACAAATTAGCAATAAAATTTACAAATATTTCTTGAGACCAACCAACAAATTCAAGGGACCAAGCATGTGGTTTTCAACATGGAATAGATAATATAATAAGCTTTTTGTACAGAAGTAAGAAGCTCAAACCACATCTTTTCACCCTTCTACTTTTCCTGATGCTACTAATGCTGCAATCTTTCAGTTTTCACACGAGGGAATTTTGTTGTTGTTTTCAGAAACCAAGATATTTTTGTGAACTGAAGGCCTTCACACTGTTTCTTACGTTCTCAACGCTATCTTTAGCTGTATTTATTCCTTGTTCCTCTATTCCTAACACTAACAGTAGGAATATCATGATTATGCTTGCCTTCATATGTTGTTATGACAGCTTTTGGATCAGTTGAAGCCCTCTCGACTTGTTTGCGGACATTGCATCCAGGATATGTGCACCGATAGTAACTCCTGTATATCAAGTGTGGATGCACAAGCGGATTATTGATGCCATATAGCAAAAGAACAGGACACATGTGATAAACATATTCTGGAAGGACAAAGAACTAGTATTGCTCAAACAAGACGCTGCAGCTGATTATAGCACTTGATTTTAATCTCCAGAGTATCTTACTGCACTTGTTTGTTCTAATGACTAATCATATGCACATATAAAGATCTTTAAATTCTGGCACATGCTTTCGCATAAAAATTCATACATCCAGTTCTTCCTATTTCGTAAGAAATGTTATCACTGTTGAATAAACCTCTAGTGACATTCTTAACTACATTGTGCAAGTTTCCTCTTGTATGGGACTTCACACTGTATCCATTTCAGACTATTGTAAAATCAAGATGCACAAGAAATTTGAGCTATTGTTTTGGTATATTTAAGAAGTTCAAGGAGATAAGTAGCATCATTTCCTGAAGAGTTCACGATAATAAACTCTACATAAAACAAGACTCTTACAGAACAGCAACTAACATTAAATTGAAAAAAATTGTGCAGTCAGAACTCAGAAGATACCTTGGATGCTGAGTCCCCTTTACCACCTTCTGCCCATATTTTCGCCATTTATATCCATCATCTAAGAAATCAACTTCACTTCTCGTCTGCAGAACAATCTTGGATTCAGCTACTGTGACATGTGATGAAGCTACAGTCTCAATTGCCGTCTTCCTGTGACATAGTAATTGAATTAGATACATACTTTTGTTGCTCTACAATATTTTCTTCTTGTTTTACTAAAGAAGGATGGCGCATTCTTTTAGTCATGAAAGGAGGACTCACGTTCTCTTTGCATCTGGTTCATCATGCCCTTCATCATCTACGTCTATCAAATAGCTTTCGGTTTCATCACATTCTCTTTTCACAAGAAGTTCAGATACCATTTGGGTTGGAACCTGGTCAGATCGAGAAGGAGAAGACCCATCCGAGCTATTCATTACTGTCCAATCATGTGTACTAATATCTGGTCGAACTCCAAAGCAGTCTGTATTATCCAAAGCAGAACCATTTTTTCTTCGTTTGGTTGGTTGATCATGGTTGTGACGGCCATTATATGTGATCTCAGTTATGTGACCATCAACAGACCGCTCAACCTTCTTCTTCACTAGACATTTGAGATATGTGCACTTATAGTAGCTCCTAGGGCATTCACTAGCTTTAACCTTTTTCTGACCATATTTTCTCCAGTTATAACCATCACAAGCTGGCTTATCGAGAGCACCAGAGGATGTCTTGTTCTCAGATTGAGAAACCTCCGGCTGTTCAAATTGCTTACCCTGATTGTCTGATGGCTTGTTATCCAAACTAGATTGCAGACATTCCTTTATCTGCAAGGAAGACTCCTTTGGATCAATCGACAACTCATGTCCTAATGCTTCTACTGGAGCCACCTGAGAGGAACACTGGTCTTGGGCTTGCATTTGCATTTGCATTTGCATATATGAACTAGAAAATTCAGCCTGTGCTGTAACATGTGCTAGAGCCTGCTGATGTGACATTCCAAAGGGACTCTACAATCAAATTGAAATACCATAAGTAACCACATGATGCCAAAAGTAATTTTGATGACTTTCAGATTAACTATTTCTATAACCAACTTAGAAACAGTCTCTCTACCTCTAACGCACAAAGGTAGGGATAAGGTCTGCATTCACCCAACTTGATGAAATTTAAAACATATAAAGTTTGAGCGAACTCATTACTAGAATACTGGATCCTTATCAAAAACATGTTTATAGAATAAACTTACCAAAGTAGATAAATTACTAAATCAAAACATAAAATAAAAAAAAACAAGTTTTTGGCTATTATTGATATATTATTACAAGATAGATGAAGAATTTGAGCAGATTATATTTTTACCTGAAGTGGGGAAAGAAAGCCAGGAGAATTAAGGAATCCAGAAGGACTCAAACCAGAGGGAATAACGAACAATTGAGGATTCACAGACCCATTTTGGTTATACCCAGAGTTCTTTTGACACCCAGGAGGATCTCCAGAATATTCATATCCGGCGAGAAGCTGGGAGAAAGAAGGAGGACAATCTGCAGAATCAGGGCTCTGATCAGACAAGAAACTGGAAACAAGAGACATTGGACCTGGGCTGAAAGAAGACATGTTAAAAAAGGATTCAAATGAAGGGCGAGGTGGAATTGTCAAAGATGGAAACGATATTGCTGAAGCTTCCCCTGTTTCCCCCATTTTCAGTTTTCTTCTTCTTCTTCTCAAGAGATAAAGAAGAAAGTGGAGTTGCTTTTTCTGCTATCCCTTTCGTTCTGATGTGTATATATATTGGTAGAGTATATGATGGGTGCTCCACTCGTCACTCCTCATTCGTCAATACAATGGAGATATTTTATTAGACGTGAAATCATGATTTGAAGCTTATCACTAACTAGTTTTCGAACACGTATGTTATACGTGTATCTCATGTTATTTAATATCAAATATTTCAAATGATATAATTATTTTTGAATAATTGATGCATTATACAATATTTAAAGGATAAAAAATGATTTTTTTGGTAAAACATTCCACTAAGGTTATAGAATTTGAAGAATTTCTAATTGTATTGATAAAAAAAAAATTATTTTAATCATATGGAATACACAATATTTATTGGTAAAAAAAAAAGATTACTACTTCAATTATATAATTATCAAGATTGTCAAATATCTAACACTATATTTCCATACAAATGAAAGAAGTTAATTTAACAAAGCAATATATCAATTAAAAAAAATGACCAATGAATAAAAGATTACATAAGAATTAATATTTAGCAATTAAAGTCATTAAAAAGTGAAAAATAATAAATTGTGACATCTAACCATGTATTCTCTTCAATTAAATATTGATATTGTATGAATCTCTCCATATGCTCTAACCTCTCTCTTCATATGCTCTAATGTTTAAATTTTTTTAATCTAAAATGGTAGTTGTTTTAAGCGCTCAAAATTCAACAATTAAGAAGAAAAATTGTTAATGCAACTCAATGACAATGGCAAAAGAAATACTCATAAATGCACTTGAAATTATTACGGTAACATTTTAGTGGTATGTAAAAAGTTTTCTGTTATGAAACTTAAATTACTATTTAATAATAATAATCAATAATAATATAATGGTATTATTGTAGTAACTCAACTATATAGAATTATTTTGATATTTCAACATGTTCTCACTTATAATAATAATATATGATTATTACTATTCGTTTTGTTACTTATGTACAAAATTTGGATAAAAAGTTATCCAAATGTACATACTTAGAGTCCGTTTGAATTGTCTTATTTTGCTAAGTTATAATCAAAATAAGTTCAATTGGATTGGAAGAAGGGAATGTAATTTACTTCTTTTCTACGCATGTTTTAAACTGTTTTTCAAAAGCTTGTTATTTTTTGTGAGAATTTTTTTTCCAAATTGTTAGTAGAAGTAGTGTTCGGCAGACTGGCTTGGTGGGAGTTGGCAGAACTATAAAATAGCTCAAGATTTACTATTTCACCTATGGTTAACTGAAATTCAAGATTTATTAGAAAACTAAAATAGTAATAATAAATTAGAAAACTGAAAGTTGAGGTAAATATCTGGAGTTGTGTATTTTCAAGTTGCCAAACAAAAGGATAAGATGTCAGGCTAGTGGTCTAAATGAAGAGTACTACTACACATTGTTGGATATACAATGAATTCTTTACCTACCAAATGCCACTTGAGAGAAGTCGATACCTACACTTTCTTTATACTTCCTCCTGTTTTCATAAAGTGGTTTTTTATAACATGGAACGACAAATCTCCATCACTTGTTAATCTTACATTTTAGTGAATTTGAATTATTAAAAGAAGTAAAAATATGAGAAGGAGGGGTAAAAAATTGGACACCATCCATCCATTCAAAAGTTACTTACTTACAGAAAATAAGAAGTATTTTTATTTATAAAATTGATATCTTCTTGATTATGAAATATCTGGTAGTTTAATTAGTTAGTTGAACTTCACCTTA